TGAGTTTGTAATGGTGTTATATGAATTTTCTAGCCATGAAAAGAATATTAAAAAGAAATTGTGTTTGTAATAGACGTATTTACATTTGTATGCAAGTTTGTCCGCCATTACTTAAAATCACGTAAAATTTGACATCACAATTTAAAAAATTTGACGTCATAATTAAACATTGATTGTTGCTTGACGTCAGAACAGTTGGAAAGCAAGTCAATGGAAACGTCCGTTGTTGTCAAGCTTTATCAGCTACAATAGCAGGGGGAATTAATTAGGTGGCGCCACAGTCGTCGGTGACGACAAAAAGTCCGCGAAATCAGTCGGCTAAAAAAATCGACGTTTAAACTATTTAACTTGTCATGCCATTATTATAATTCATTTTTAAAGTTTGTAGGTTTTTTATCAATATAATTTCAATACGACATAGAAACATTGTCGAAAATAACTTTTATTTACTATTACTTCATTCTGTCCGTTCTAAAAATTATCAGCCATCTTTTTTGTTCGCCAAAAAACTCGAATTCAAATAACTTGACGTTTGCGTATCCAAATACGGAAAAGAACTTTAAATAATTTTTTTTAATTAAAGCCTATTTTAAATTTCTACATAAATATAAGCCATCATTTTTTACTTTTATACCATTATTTCAGTGGCCACCAGGCATGTCATTTTGTATTTTTTTTTTTGCATCGGTTCTACTTTAAAATAGTGAAAATTCGGCTTCTATACATTGAAGTTGTTACCAAAGTACTAAAAACTACTGATTTTATTAGTGATGTGAATTAAATTATGATTAAACAGTGTTGTTTTTCACAATTCCATACAATAATTTCATTGCAGAGAAATTAAAACCCTTCTTGGTCCCCTACACAAATTGACGGTGACATTGTTTTTTTTTCAACATACTTCTTCTTCTTCTGATATTCAGTTTCAGCTTCATTTATATTGAAGATTACGAACTGTTGTATGCGCGGAGTATGTGATTAAAAATATAGTTGAACAAAAATTTATTTTTAAATTTTTAGAATACTTGAATGGTGATATTTACATGAAATAGAGACAACAAGTGATTAAAAAATAAGTACATTGGTATTTATAGAGTTAATTTATGTTGTGGAGAACAGTTGGTGTCAACTGATCTCTAAAGGTTTCAATTGTTTGACATGCTACCACAACTTGTGGTAACATGTTCCATTGGATTATTGTTTGTGGAAAAAATGACCATTTGTAACTGTCTTTTGAGGTGGATATTTGCCGAAATGATTGGGTGTGTAATTTTCTTGTTCTAGTATCTGCTGGTATAAGGACTAGCGATGGAATTGCAATGAGTCCATGGATGACTTTGTAGAACATAATTAGTCTGGTTTTGAGTCGGCGCTCAGCAATTGAGGGCCATTGGAGATTGTTTAACATGGATGTAACACTACTGGTGTTGTGGTAGTTGTTACATACATAACGGGCCGCACGCCTCTGTACCATTTCTAATTTATTTTTGTATTCTGTTGTGTGTGGATCCCATAAACTACATGCATATTCAAGTTTTGGTCTCACTATGGATTGGTATGCACGGGATTTGATATTGGTGTTCGATACTTTTAGGTTTCTCTTCAGGAAGCCAAGAGATTTGTTTGCATTTGATATGATGTTGTCATAGTGATTGTTCCATTTTAAATTTGACTGTAAGGTTACGCCGAGATATTTTGCTGATGTTACTGGTTCTAAAGTATGGTTATGCAGAATGTAATTGTGTTTGAATGGTTTCTTTTTCTGTGTTATTGTCAAAATTGTGCATTTTCCTGGATGGAAGGCCATGAGCCAATCAGCCTCCCATTTAGCAGCTGCGTTAAGATCTGCTTTTAGTTTTGTGCAATCTTGTTGACATGTTATTTTACGGTATATAATGCTATCATCAGCGAAGAGTCGTAATTTGCTGTGATCGGGGTATTCTGGAAAATCGTTTATATAAATTAAAAAAAGTATAGGCCCAAGGACAGTTCCTAAATTGGGGCACACCTGATGTAACTGGTACTGTGTTTGATGTTATTCCATCTATAACCACTATTTGTGTACGGTCTGATAAAAAAGCCTGAATCCATTTTAGAGTGTTGTCTTGAATGCCATAGTATTTAAGTTTGTAGAGTAGACGTTTGTGGGGAACTTTATCGAAGGCTTTGGCAAAATCCATAATAATGAGGTCTATTTGTATATTTTTGCTGTTGTTGTTATGAAGTTCTTGTATAAATTGAATGAGTTGTGATTCACATGATCTCGATTTACGAAAACCATGTTGGAGGTCGTAGAGTATGTTATTTGCCTCCAAATAGTTCATGATGTTACTTGTCACAATGTGCTCCATCAATTTGCAACAAATACAAGTGAGTGAAATTGGTCTATAATTTTCAGCCTTGTATCATTCGCCCTTTTTAAATGCTAGTGCAACTATTGCATGTTTCAAGTCTTTTGGTGTTTTGCCTGTTTCGAGAGGTTTGGTAAATACGTCATATAACGTTAACAAAATATGTGTCAGGGTCATATTGTGCATAGTGAAAATTTACACATTGGAAAAGTAAAACAAAGATCATGTTTATAACGTTTGAAACTTAACGTCTAAGAAAATTTCATTCATACTGGCAACAAATCTGACAAAATAATGATAGCCTATGCATGGACAAAAACACAAGATATGGCGAGTGAAAAAATGATTCCTTGCAATGGAAATTTCTGGAAAAATAACATGAAACTGAAAGAAGAAATTAAGGTCAGTTAATTATACATATAAGTGAAAAACCTTGATTATTGGATATCTCCTTATTAAATAAGTGATAGATATAAGTGCAAAAAATAGCTTATCAAGTCAAATAAAAAAATTGATTCTTAGAAAACTGATTTTATTCACATGGTAAATTATTGTCAAATTTTAGTTTTTACAATCATTAGTGAAATGAACCAACTGTTAAATAATCCTGTTGTAATTTGGGATATAAATATACAATTAAGGTACAAGTATACAATATTTATTTATACCAGCTGACACAGCAACTTGAAGAGTAGCCTAGAAGACCAAATTTTTAGAATTTTTCAAAAAGTTTTACTTTCATAATCTATAAAATACCCTGAGAAATTTGACAAGGGCTACTGTGGTAGCTAATTTAATAATTTCATTTCATTTAAAAATATAATGATTTTAAAATTCAAAATTATGCCACTTATTAAAATACTATCATTTTAAATATTATCTTTAACAGAATTTCTATTGTTCAGTATAAATAAGTTCTTCTGAAATATTTCTGGTAAACTTATCCTTTTTCTGTAAGATATTTTCTAGGCAGTACTGCACTGTTCTACTAAGAAACAAAGATTGAGTTAAAAGGCCTTTTTGCTATGAAAAAACTATTGTGACTCTGGATCCCATGGGCTTTTTAGAATGTAAAATCTAAATGATCAGTAGTATTTATCATTTTTATTTCAGAAAGATTTTTTTTAAATTGTGACAAGATATGTTTTATTGCTAATTGAGGTATTTAGAAAAATTCTACCACGATGTGATCCTATATCCTATTATAAAAAAATTACAGTGGTAATTTCATCAGCCAGAGCTAATTTATATTAATTCAGCTAGTTTTCTAGGAGACATTTCATAATTTTTAACCAATTTATTGTCTTTTAATCTTGACCTCTTATCCTTCTCTGAAAAGGATGGAGGTATCTCTTGTTAATACGAAAATACCATAGTTTTAATCGAATTGTAAATGTATTTGGGGTTTTTTTTTCTTGATTTTTGTGATGTTAACTCCTTTTGATTGATTTTAATGGATTTTCATTTTTGACTTGTGATACCAGGGGAGATAATCACTTGCACAAAATTGGCCAAAAAACCACCGCTTCGTGTTGAAAATAACTTGACGTTTGCGTATCCAAAACCCTGTTGCCTGGATATTCATATCGAGTGTTTGTCTTAATGAGATGCCTAATATAATTTAAATTCAGCCCGTCATGTTTAGTTTCCTCGAAAATATTTAGATTTTTCTATCAGGAGACTTGAGACAATTTTCACGCAAATTTCAAGTTTGAAGATAGAATTAAGAAAGAAGGACTTTTAGTAGACGTGTAAGTTTTGACGAGTGAAAACTATGTATATTCAAGATTATTTTGATCAATAAGTTTTTATCATGTCAGTGGTATTTTATTGAGTAAAAATGCGGTTTGTCTCAGCCGTAGTTTTACTGAATTTTCACGGTCACGTGACTCTATCGTTGCTGATAGACTTGGGGTCAAACCGTAAACTGCTTTCCAACTGAGAAGGTTATTCGGAGACAGATCTAAGGTTATTCGGAGACAAAATTCAGCAAAATACCAAAAGTGTAAATACGTTTATGGTGGTGTTATTATTTTTATTTTCTAACCATGTCGGTTTTTCTTCCAAATCAAAACTGTGGAGGGTCATAGATATAGAGTTGAACGTCCAGTTGAAAATAAGGTATTTCCAAAAAAAAAAAAAAATCCAATATTTTAAAACAGGTATGTAATTTTATGTCTCTAGGAACACAGTAGAAGATAAATCTAAATATAAGCCAGCGTACAATGTTGGGATATGTTGATTTTTTTTAACTATGCCGACAGCCTTTCGATTTGATTAACACAGGAATGACATCACGTATTGCGTATGGGGACTAAATTCGGAAACAATTGGGATTAGTTCGGAAAAAAACGGAGTTCTACTTTAATTAAACAGGTTTATCCTAATTTAATAAACTTGAACAATCAGGTGAAATTTATTTCACGAGAACTCATACACTGTTACATTAGACTGCGCAGAAGAATCGATCAATTATTTAAAAAAAAAACTTATTATAGCGCATTATACAATGCAATATTTAAAAGAACATTCCAATTCCTGCTAGCACTTATTGACAGCTGTTCACATTTGCTTGCAATGGAACTTTTAGAGAATACAGTCATGTTAGTTGATTATTACAATTTGACATGGAAAATTAAAATTACATACCTGTATTTTCAGTAATTTGGCCGGAAGTTTGACAAATCAGACAAAGACAGCGGTAAAAGACACCGTTGTACATGGACATTTTAGGAGAATTCTTTTACACAAACCCGTGATACGGAAGTTTAAAGCAATCTTCCTTAAATTATTGTACCGAAATTTCAATTATGATTCATATCGTATTGTCACGGGAGATCTATTCAGTTACAACAAATACAATTATATTTGTTATTGAAATGTTCAAATCTTTTATTCATTACAGTCACTGGTGTTAAACTGATAATCGTAACTGGAATTACGACGATCCCAATATGGCGACGGCAGAAATAGGTAAAATCTTTTCAGTCCTTTTTCTCAAATGTAGCCCGTTGTTGTCAAGAGTTACTCAGCTGCAAGGTTTTTCTATACCATTACATCATATTTGAATCGTAACGGTGCACTATAATTGTCTAAGCGCTTAGAAAATTGCCGCCGAAAAATTCGGGATGATAATCGTAATTCGATGGCATTTTTCTTGTTTGATAATCGTAATTTCTTTATGGGATAATAGTAACTGAAAAATAACAAATGTGTCTTCCAGCTTGTCAATGGTATTTTGTGTGTAAAAACGGCAATGTCCAGTTAAACGATGACATTAAAGCGCAAAATAAAAAAATAATGAAGCAACTTACAGGTTAATATTTATGACAAATTTACTTACATGTATATATATCTCGATTTATAACTGACAACAATATGCATTACCTTTTAATATATAATACATGTACCTGTAAAGATATGGAAAATGAAGCAGCTGTCGAGTCAGTTATTGTGGTAAATAGATAATTTTAATTCTTTCAAAGTTTCAATGCTGTTTTCGCGTTTCTGGTTTTTTCTTGGAAGTGGGGAAAAGGGGTGGGGGGAGGGGGTAATTAGCATTATCCCATATCCCAAAAGTGCAATCCTTTCAAATGAAAGTCCCGTATACCACATTTCAATATGCCATATGTTTTGCCTCAAATATTGCATATATCCAATCGACTTTTAAATCAATAAAAAGGGCAAGTTCACCTCCCCTATCTCAATATTCCCTATACTACGGGGGTGGCTGTGGGTTACTTCCTATATACATATATAAGTTATAACATGGATCAGATTTTTGTTCTTTGGCAATATATGAAAGGGGATATTTTTTTTTAATTTCAGCAGCACGCCAGAAGTGACACCACCCCTTCCCCCGTGCCTTATATAGACATCATTTATCATACGATCGCTGTCAGTTTTGAGTTCCCTGTTGTTTATATTCGGGGGTGGGTCCACAAATTATGTAAAAAAGGAAATGGGGGGGGGGGGGGGGGGTGCTATAAACTGAACGTTTATACTAAATTTCTGCGAGAAATAAACAAAATTTTCCATCAGTTACTTAACTGCATTATTGGATTTAACAGTTGATACTTTGATTGGTGGATATGAGTTTTCATTTTGCCCTTTTCCTTATATTTCAATAGAAATACCTATAATTTAATTTTGGAGTGAAATGTATCCCGGTTAAAATAGCCGTTCATATTTTTCAAGTGAATTCACTTTTGTTCTGTTTTACACTGATATTTTATATGATTTTAAAAATTAAATTCACACAAATACTTTGATTAAATATCCATGTATTTTAGGACGTTTCTTTAAACAGTGTGGATGGTAAAGGATCTAGAATAGTTACCATTTTATTGTTACTATTGTTTATTGTTCCTTGTGTTTATTGTTACTTGTGTTTATTGTTCCTTGTGTTTATTGTTCCATGTGTTTATTGTTCCATGTGTTTGTTGTTACTTGTGTTTATTGTTACTTGTGTTTATTGTTTTTATAAGCCTTAACTAAATGGCGCGTATAGTCTTGCGAAGCATTTGAAGGACTGAAAAAAACACAAATATATATTATATATATATGTGTATTGGTCCTCAGAAGGCATAATATGTAGATCATCAGGGTCGAAACTGGTTTAATTACAAAGACTTTAATAGATAATCAAACAAATATTTTGTGATTCAGAAAAATGCATGACAATTATGAAGGTTCATTCTCATTTATCCAACTTTTTAAAATTATAGGTAGTACAGGTAAAAAAAAAGTTGGATAGATGAGATCAAAGGTAATCAAGAACAAAGGGTTTTCAATTAGAGTTTGGGTTGAATGACAGGTGAAAAATAAGACTGAAAATTATACCCGGATTAAATTTTCTGTAGTATTATTTAGCATAGCATGTTAAAATGTGCAACTGACATTTAGTTAATGTAATGTAAATCATTTGAAAGTATTTTTAAGTTTTTTAACCGTTAATTAAAATGTGAATTGGATAGAAAAATATCAATTGCACTTTTATTCATGAAGAGATTTGTCAATGAGATGGAGCTTTTTTTTGTGTAATAGATCCTCTTCGTTCATTTTTTTCTGTTCTTCTGACCAAATGATCCAAATGGGACAAAATATAAGTTGAATACGTTTTACTACACAAAGACTGAAAAGTTTTTACACATTCAAAAAGGTGTGACATTTGTTTTCAAGTCCGTATTTAAATAGAATACCAAACAATATTTCTTTTTAACTCTAAACATGAAGAGATCATGATGAAATTTTTTTAAATTTTCTCCCATATTTTGTGACGGTCCTAGTTCCTGGAGTTTTCAGTATTTTAACATAGTTCGTGTTTCCCCATTTACAAATTTATTGAAGCTGGTCCCCCTTCCAATTTTATAATATATACTAGTATGAAGCTGTTTACATTACAACTGTTAATCATATATGCACAAAAAGAAATGTCATAAGATGTGGGAACGTTTTCGTGATTAATTCATCACCATATTTTCATCATATGCTATTAGATAGACGTTTTCGTGTCAATACCAATCAAACACTTAGTCTATCCAGTTACGATTATCTTCTTATTTATTAATACCGAAATTACGATTATCATTTTTACGAGTTACGATTATCCTCCTGAATTTTTCGACGGCAATTTTCTAAGCGCTTAGACAGTTATAGTGCACAGTTACGATTCAAATATGATGTAATGATATAGAAAAACCTTGCAGCTGAATAACTCTTGACAACAACGGGCTACATTTGAGAAAAATGACTGAAAAGATTTTACCTATTTCTGCCGTCGCCATATTGGGATCGTCGTAATTCCAGTTACGATTATCAGTTTAACACCAGTGACAGTTTTAAGACAAACATTTTCGTATCATAAAAATTGAACACTTAGTGAACAATAAATAATTTCCTTAATAGGGAAAAACACACAAAAGAGATCATAATCAAACATTGTGCAATAAAACAGTGATAAGTAACAGGTTAAACCCACTTTTTTCTCTTGCTTGACATTTCTTGAGTACTAATCTCTGATGTGTTTTCAGCTTGAAAATTCTTGAGTATTTATTTCTGATTCGTCCTTGTCTTTAAACTCTTTTGAGTGTGATCAGTTTACTATGTTGACCTCTGTAATGGTGATTTATGTATTAAAATATTGGAATTCTTTTTTTTTAGAAATACCCTATTCAACTGGACGTTCAACTCTATATCTATGACCCTCCATAGTATTAAAGTTCGTACAATTTGATAAACATTTATACTAAACAGGCAATTTATTTTTTCATTTTTTTTTAATTTTCGGCAATATTTGAGCAAAATCATTTATCAATTTCTTAAACAATTTTTCTTTTCAGAAATAGACCCGAATTAACTATGTATTTACGAATTATAAGAATCGTTATTTAGCCGGAAGTGTGACTTTGAACTATAGTACTAAAGATTATTGCACTGAATTGCAATTGCAAATTAGCCAGGTCTACACTGTGTTGCTAAATATTAAGATAAAAAAAATAAGGCTGCACCATTTTCACCCTCGGATGTATTGATAGAAAATATCTTTTTGAAATAAAATGAATGTTTATCAATAAATTTATTGTTGTATCACCCCAAAAATTTATTTCCCGATACGTCATATAACATGATCCAAAAAATTAGGTCAAGGTCATATAAACCAAATAAGAAATACATGTACACCTTACAATCATTCAATACACTAAATATAGTTGACCTATTGCTTATAACTTCTAAGATAAAGACTTAACCAAGAAAACTAAACATTGACCAATGAACCATGAAAATGAGGTATTGCTTATAGTATTAGAAAAACAGACCAAAACACAAAAACTTAACCCTGAGCAATGAACCGTGAAAATGAGGTCAAGGTCAAATAAAACCTGCGAGACTGACATGTACATCATAAAATATTTCCATACACCAAATATAGTTGACCTATTGCATATAGTATAAGAAAAAAAGACCAAAACTCAAAAATTTAACTTTGACCACTGAACCATGAAAATGAGGTCAAGGTCAAAAGACACCTGGCAGCTAGACATGTACACCTTACAATAATTCCATACACCAAATATAGTAGACCTATTGCATGCAGTATAAAAAAAACAGACCAATACACAAAAACTTAACTATAACCACTGAACCATGAAAATGAGGTCAAGGTCAGATGAAACCTGCCAGTTGGACATGTACACCTTACAGTCCTTCCATATACCGAATATGCTAGACCTATTGCTTCTAGTATCTGAGATATGGACTTGACCACCAAAACTTAACCTTGTTCACTGATCCATGAAATGAGGTCGAGGTCAAGTGAAAACTGTCTGACGAGCATGAGGAACTTGCAAGGTATGCACATACCAAATATAGTTATCCTATCACTCATAATAAGATAGAAATTAACATTACAAAAAATCTTAACTTTTTTTTCAAGTAGTCACTGAACCATGAAAATGAGGTCAAGGACAATGGACATGTGACAGACGGAAACTTCGTAACATAAGGCATCTATATACAAAGTATGAAGCATCCAGGTCTTCCACCTTCTAAAATTTAAAGCTTTTAAGAAGTTAGCTAACGCCGCCGCCGCAGGATCACTATCCCTATGTCGAGCTTTCTGCGACAAAAGTCGCAGGCTCGACAAAAAACCAACAGCCTGAAGTATGAACAAAACAATAAACGAAAATAAATATGATAGACATCAACCAACGACAACCACTAAATTACAGGCATATGCCTTGGAACAAGCACATACAAAATGTGGCGGATGAGGTTTGTTTGCTCCATTGAGTTTGTGATTTTTCAAAATGTATTTTTTCCTATCTATCAAGGGCTTCAAAATTATTTTGATTTGCGTATTTCATAAATGTTTAGCTCAATTAAAGAAGAGAATATCACAGTGCCCTTAAACAAATTTGGGTAACTTAGCTGCAAATAGATTATTACTGTTCAACACTTCTTTTAATTGAATGATTTTGCATATATACTCGATAAAATTTGTATGTCTTTTTGTGTCATTTTGGTCATACATTCAAATATGTATATATCCTTAGCTGTCAAATATTTTTAAGTTTGAGAGTTATTCCTAATGAAGGTCAATTCAGAAAAACGCTTCGCATGCATATAATTTATAAAGTATTAATTTCATATTCATTTACAGTTTGTAAATGTCTGCAGCAATTTAATTGTGAAAAATATAAGCTGCTACTTTTGTTAATATTAGATTGTGATAATATATTTTCAAAAAAATAAACTATTCACTTACTTACTTACTGTATAAATTCAGCGGAAAAATTAATCTTAATTATAACACGTTATGTTATAAGTGTAGGAGTAAATCTTCAAATCATGTTCGTCTCTTGGAGGTAATAATTGAAGCTCTTTGAAAAGAGGGAACATGTGACAACCCCGTAAATCATTTAACATTTACAAAATAATGATAAAAAAAGTCCTGCAATTTAATAAACAACATTTTGAAACAATTTTGTTGGTTGTTTAAAACTAAATGTAGCTCTCTACATGTCTTTTGGTTATTAGTGTCATTGGGTTGTTGGCACAGTGACGTATATCCCAGATAGCAAGCAACGACAACCATTGAATTACACCTCTGGATATGGGACTGACAAATAATGAATTAGCCTTTTTTTTAAACCGAATTTACTAGCAAAGAAGTATAATCTGCCATATAAGTTTTACCAGGGAGTTTTCTAAACGGTGACCTTTAGATTAACTCGCGATGTTGGTTTACAGTCTCAATTATCTAGATCCTTCACCTCCTTTTATAAATGTACATGTATATTATAAATAATTATATATTTCATTAAGAAAATTCTACACAATAGGACGTTGGTAGGCCTACCTACTCCTTGAAATGGACAAGAAACTGTCATTTAGAGAAACAGAGTTAAAAGCTATATAAGTATATCTCATATTAACTTTGAATAACAAAAGCTAAAAGATAACCTGTTATATTATATTTGGTTGGAGGGACGGACTTACATCTATGAATCAATATTCCAAGAATTCAAACAATTTGTTAAAACTATTATGATATTGATCAAATGAATGCTAACTTGACTGTGCTCATTTTGGGTTTTAGAAGCACGCTGACTCACTAAAGAACTATTGTGCAATAAGATATGTTGTGGCGTTTGGCAGGTTGTTCTAACTTGCTTTCAACCAGACGGTCAATTTCGTTGCTACAATTTATAAGTTGTACTTGCACAAACATGACGATGGGTGTCACATGAAGAACAGGAACTGCTCACTCTTTAGATCACCCGTATTCATCCCCCCTCTCCCCCAATTTTTTGGTGGCGTTTATGTTGCTCAGTATTTAGTTTTCTTTGTAGTGTTTTGTAGACTTGTTCGTCTATTCGTCGTTTTTAGTTTTTTGACATGGCTTTGTCGAATTTTCTCAGACTTTCAATGTCTCAGAGTTTCGAATGTCCCCTTGGAATATTCCACCTCTTTTTTACCCTTCTTACTTACATCAGAAACATCAGACACTATTTTTACATTTAAAAAAATGTTTCTGATCTTACTAAATCGGTAAACAAATAACAACAGGTGGTCGGGTATATTTCATGTTTTGCGGTTTACATTTTGTAACGACTATTATATTATTTATTTGTGCGTTTCTCTGTGCTGAGTGTTCTTGCGTTTGTTTGTGCTGTATTTCTGTCACGTAGTGTTGTCAATTTAGCGATATTTTTTAACATTGCCATATAAGCGGGAGGTTTGGCTAGCCATAAAACCAGGTTCAACCCACCATTTATTCTTAAAATGTCCTGTACCAAGTCAGGAATATGGCAGTTGTTATCAAATAGTTCGTTTCTATGTATGTTGGTGTTTGTTTTTGTTGCACTTTAGTGTTTCTGTTGTTCCGTTGTTTTCCTCTTATAGTTGATGTGCTTCCATCAGTTTTAGTTTGTAACCCGGATTTGTTTTCTCTCAATCGTTTTATGACTTTTTAACAGGGTATACTATTGTTGCCTTTATTTATCAAACAACAAGTAAGAAAGCAAAAATAAATCATCTGTATCTGACTTAAAAAGTAAAGTGTAATGATTTATATAGATTACACAGATGAACAACTGTATTTCAAATAAATAAGGTCAGTGAACAGAACCTTTAATTTACACGAAACATGATTAGAATCAACCTAGGAAGGATCACAAGTAACTTCACTTTATATTAATGATCAATTACAAAATGTACTCAACTAATATTATTGGCTTATATTACATGTTTTTTTGTAAGCTTGTACTCTCAGAAAGCATCAAAGTTTTTATTGTTGCTTTTGTCAAAGTCTGTTCCCTTCGTCTGACTAGAGTCTAATTCTTGTCCAGAACTTTGGCATGTATAATTTGATCTTTTATCGTACCTTGTTTCTTTTTGATCAAGTATAAGGTATTCGTTTGACTGACTAGATTCTTTGAATTAGTATCATCTTGTGTTGTTATGCTTGTAGCAAATTCCGCATAATCATTATGTTTCTTTCCGGTTTTTCCTAGAATTTCTGTTAAACCTTTCTGTTTTTGACTTCCTCATATGTGGCATCAGTTGATGACGATTGTCTATTCTGGTCAAAAGAATTACACACGGTCAAATAAGAATCTGGTTCGATAGTATGGTTTTCGTTTTCACTTTGTGGAGAATTTCCCAATTCTATGTAGTTATGATCATCTGATTCATTTCCAAGTGTGGTATAGTAATTACCATTTCCTTCAATATCAAAAGCGTTTGAGTCGATGTAAGCAACATTTTGATTTCCTGTATAATCTTGTTCATCATGTTTTATTTCATAAGGGACCTTTCTTCCAGGACAGGACATAGAGAAACTAAAATATAAAATAATATATGAAACAATTATTTTTTGTTGTAAATACCAAATACCGGTGTATTAATGAAAGCACTTAATTATTTTACAACATACCTTTGTTTTGTAATTCTGGCATTTTTTAGGTTTTTCGGTAACTGATAGAACAATATTTCGTTTTTGTGATTATTTGAAATAAACGAGTGAGAAAATTTTTTAAATAAGTTATGTTAACATTTCCCGTCTGCTACTACTTAGTCCATACCACTTAATTAGTTAGTTTAAAAGCTGATGACAAAACCAATACCATACTAATTAATTCGAGAATTAAAATTTGAATTCTTTTTATAGAGAAAATTTATAAAAATGCTTATCGTGTAGTAAATTACTTTAACATAATATTCAGATTGCAGACTTAATTTCACAAATGTTATAACTTTATAGAATCAAAATACTGTAAACCAACATATTTTCGCGGATACTTTATTTAACGTTTCGCTTTTCTAGCCCAAATCGCGGCGATTAAATTTCGCGATTTTCACATTTTCTTGAGCATTTGAATTAGGAAAGATCCAAGTTTTACATATTCGCGACGATTTATATTCGCGTTTTCTTCTACTTGCGAAAGTCGCGAAAATAAATCGCTCGCAAAAATTGGTTGATTTACAGTATTCTAACTTAACACTTTCTATAAGTTTTAGAATAATCGATTGATGTTTAATATATAGTCAGCGCGTGTATGCAATTCAAATACAACTTTCAACAAATATCAATAGATCTTTAAACTTTAATCATAGCATCAATACATACCGTTTAAATATGAAGATTGCAATTATCAAAGTAAAGAAACCAACACCTGCTACAATGCCTGCTACTATACCTGAAAAAGGCTGTATTTACTTCAATATCTTGTAGGTCTGTTACTTATGCATGCTTGTTAATATAAATGTATACTTGTGCATATTATATAGACATTTGTGTATTGTTTAAGACCGTATGTTGACCTCTAGATATCATCTTGCGTTGCGTGTCGTTGCAGTCCCATTGACGTCTGATCCACATCTCCTTTTATTTATTTTTTAATTCATCAATATTCTTCTTCTTTATATGTTTTTAAGTATTTAATTTGATATCTCCCCTTCTACATTGTGAGTTTACCCTTTGAAAAGAATATCTCTCGTTTTTTTTTAGATAAATAATGAAATTAAATTACTTTTGCCCATAACTACTATGACTTAATGTATTGTAATTGTTTGGGACCTTTACATGTGCTTTACCAGCATTCTCTTATTTAAACAGACTTGAATGAACCATGTGAGGTTCGTCTTTGATAGAAAAGAAAGGATATTGGGTATAAATCCATGACTCAAAATCAGCAAAAAACACAAAAAGCAAGGGAACAGCGCGTTTATTGCTGTTCTTCATCTCAAAGTCACAGTGAGGCCCTAAACGAGGAGCGAAAAAAACTCTCACCTAACGGCAAGTTTAAGACGGCCCCTAGCACTGGTTTGAGCAGAATTCTTTTTAAACTGACGATCACAACTGTGAATTGAAGAACAAAGCCATGGAGCAATTGATATCAATAAAATGAATCTGGCAATGAAATCAAACATGTACTGTCATAATTTATCCCGACAATCACACTGAAGCGTTCAAAAACAATACAAACATTTAGACAACCACAGGGCACGTCAAGATAAATGTAAGATAACTTGGAAGAACATAATGCTTATAAAGGGCAATTAATTCGGGTAGACTATGTAAGATGTAACACCACCAACTCGGGCCTGGTCAAAAAGAACATACTGGAAAATAGTACATATCTAAAACAAAATTGTTCCTACGCATAGGTGTTAATATTAAACTATGTAGAATATATTTGGTAATTTAAGTTTCAAATAAAAGATGAAGGACTGTTTTCTTTCTAGATCACCTTTTGGCTGATGATTTGGAATAATACAAAAATGTGTAATTGAGGGCATATATTATAAAAATTAGAAGATGTGGTATGATTGCCAATGAGACAACTGTCCACAAAAGACATATATTTCCTGTTTCTTAGATATGAAGTACCTGGTATCCAAAATTACGGTAACCATTACGGTTTGATTTGTGAATAACGGTATATTGACCCCGCCCCCAATAAATGTTCGAAGGTGAAAACTGTTACTTAGAAAGGAATGGGGCCAAGAATAGGTGGTGTGCGTCTTATTAAATTTTTTTTTTACAAAAACTGGCCTTAAATTGAGAGAATGAAGTAGCACACATCAGAGAAGGTATCTCAAGAATAAATACATCATAACTTAAAAAAAAAACCATAAGAGCATACAACTTTTTTTATATGCATGGGTTTTTTATCGGAGAAGTCGGTTGCCACATAGTTGGTGGTTGATGTGAGTGAAATGACGAAACTGGGTTTTAAAAAAGAGGCGTAAGATACCAAAGGGACATTCAAACACATAAGTCGAAACTAAACGGTCAGCGTCATTGCTAAAAGAGAAAAAGACTAACAGACAAACAACAGTACTCAAAACACAACATAGAAAACTAAAGACTGAGAAACACGAACCCCACCAAAAACTGAAATCATGATAGGAAAAAAAAAGCCCTGAAATATCGTATCAGCTTGGAGATATGTACTCCGTATGCATGCGCTGGTGGAATGTTACAACATATAAATGGACATTTCACAATTGGGAAGCTGAAATCATCACTTTTGTCGTACAATTTTGTTTTCAACCGACCCTCATTGTCTCATTTAAGATATGAGGCAGCCTTAACTGTATCTTTTTTATCCTTTACCTCAAGTTCGATGGGATAGAAGCGTTCAACAGAGTCACCAAATTTGGAACTATTTAGTTAAAGAACATCATCTATATAGCGGAAAGTGAATTTAAAGGATACTGCTAACTTCTTTTCTTTTTCCCGAAGAAGTTCCTGTATGAAGTAAGCCTCGTATAAATAGAGGAATAAGTCGGCAAGAAGAGGAGCACACTTTGTTCCCATGACAATGTCGATTGTTTGTTGAAAAACACGTCCTTCGAACGTAACAAATATTTTGTTAATTAGGAAATCAAGCATTTTCATAATGTCAGTCTCATAGAGTTTTTTGTTTGAATCAGAGTATTTTCTCACAAGTTACGAAATATCCCTCCCTAAGATAAGATTCTTGTATCTACGTTGGCCATTCTTTTTTATGAAACAAAGCAGGACAAACTTCTTCAATTTATCTATTAGTTTGGAATGGGGAATACCTGTGTAAAGTGTAGAAAAGTCAAGTGTTTTGATACTATTGCAGTATGAAAGAGTCTCAACTTGTATGTACTCTTAAAGATCTTCGGATTTTTAAGTATCCACATCTGATTCACACCACGTCTAGAATAGGTAGTTTCACAATACCTTTAAAGCCTGGTTTTTACATATACTTACCTGCTATGCTTTTGTTGCTGCCAATCTTCATTTGACTAGATCTGGATTGATTGATATGTTTTGTTGTCATACCTTAATAAAATGATTATACATTCTTGATTTAATAGTATGTATTAAATATATCAAAAGGCAAATTTTCTGAATTGATTTCACATCAACGACATTTTCTAAAACTTTTTGTCATCGATTTATATGTGAACCTGAAGGTTTTAAACAATATTTTTGCGTATTTCTGAAAGTATTCAATACCTGAAAATGGCCCAAAACTGCAATGATAAAAGACTTTGCTAAAAATTGAGTAACTATAAAAAGAATTGTAAAAGAATCTTTATGGGAGTATATAACCTTTAAAATTTTCAAAGTTCATGTATGTTCTGTAAGCTCTTAATTATAATCGCATTTTATTGGGTGTGACAATTTCTGATTTTGAGCTTGTGATTGAAACAATTAATCATATTGTTTCCTGGTTTAATTTTATTTTCTAATGAAGTTGTAAAAATGCTTTCTTCCAACACGTGCATTTGAAAAAACCTGACGCGGAAGCTACCCAACAAAAGATTCACAAAGTCAGATTTAGGTGACGTGAATTAGATAAAAGTTAAGTTCTCGCGATAGTTTTTTCGATTGGAATGAGTATCGTTTTTGAGACTTTTAATCACAGATTATCAGAGCTCTTTATGTTTGAATTGTTGTCTAACTTTTACCATAGGTTTCCCGCCATGTACCACGTTTTAAGAACTGTTTACTATTCCGATGGAATTGAGTTTACTCCAGTTTCAAGCGTTTGTATTGTTACGACAATCTATAGTTTACTAGGTTCTGTTCATGTTGACTGTTGTTTGTCATAAAGGTCTTTATCGATTCCCTGGTATATATTAATACGAACATTTTATTTGTCTTTGGAAATTATTTCTTAACTATTTGAAAAATATATAACAATGAATATTTTAAGTATGATTTAAACTCCATCAGGCAAAGTATACCTAGATGAATTTGACTTTTCTTTTATGTCCCTTTTTGGTCATATAGCTCCTAATGTTTCTCCGTATTTATACATCCCTGGCTTTCATATTTTTGAGTATGAGCGTTCTTGGTGAAGGTAAATCCAGAAAAGCGCTTCAGACGCTTGAAATTCAATAAGTGAGTTTTATTAGAAAAGAGAGGCGAAAGATACCAAAGGGGTATCAAAACTCTTACGTCGAAAGCAAACTGACAACGTCATTGCAAAATAACTGAAAACTACGATCAATAGTATACAAAACACAACATAGATAACTGAAGTCTGAGTAACATAAATATAGTATAATGAATACCAATAAACAGTATCATTTTTTCTAGTATTTATGATGTAAAGAGGGAGAGCTGAGCACTAAAAAACATGTTTAATCCCACCACATTCTGTATGTGCCTGTTCTAAGTCAAGAGACTGTGGTTCAGTTGTAGTCGTTTGTTCATTTCTGTCAAATTTATTTTTCGTAAATTGTTTTGTTATAAATTAGGCCGTAAGTTTTTTCGTTTGAGTTGTTTCACATTTGCACGATGGGACCTTTTATACCCGATTTTAAGGTATGGGCATTTCATAAACTGATTAAATGAGGAAAGCGAAATTAGAAATCTATACTTTAATTAAATGTGGGTTTTCTCATTCTTGGAGGCCGTACGGTGACCTATAATTGCTTATATCCTCTTATTTGAATTCTAGTGGATAGTTGTCTCAGTGATAATCATACCACTTTCCTTATTTTTCGGTCATTGACATGGTAACACTTTAGGCATGGCAACTAAATGGCATGTTAAAACAAATGAAATGAGAGATGCAAAATATCGAAACTTCAACTTGAAAATATATTGAAAAAAGGGACGAAAGATACCAGAGGGACAGTCAAACTCATAGATCGAAAATAAACTGACAACGCCATGGCCACAAATAAAAAGACAAACAGACAAATAATAGTACAGATGACACAACATAGAAAACTAAAGACTAAGCAACACGAACCCCACCAAAAACTGGGGGTGATCTCAGGTGCTCCTGAAGGGTAAGCAGATCCTGCCCCACATGTGGCACCCGTCATGTTGCTTGAAATGATAACAATAGTAGTTCATTATCAATTTCGAATTAGCTGCTGATGTCGAACTATTGAGAAACGAGTCAATACTGAAACAAAGAGGGAGAAATAGGTTTGACCAATAACGCAGTTCTGTTTTTTAGCGGAAGAAGAAATAAGTAAAAAATGAAATTTTTTGTGGTAAAAAGGATTTATGCGTATGGTTTGTAAAAACTGGTCCAAAGTAATGAATAGTTCTGGAAAACTGTCAAAAAGGGAAAAATGAAAACTGTAATTGTAAAATTCCCAGTATCAGTATATGTTTGTCTGAATGATTACCATGAATAAAGGCAACAGTAGTATACCGCTGTTCGAAACTCATAAATCGATAGAGATAAAAACAAATCCGGGTTACAAACTAAAACTGAGGGAAACGCATCAAATATAAGAGGAGAACAACGACACAACAAAAACACAACATTAAAATGTAACACACACAGAAACGAACTATAATATAACAATGGCCATTTTTCTGACTTGGTACAGGACATTTTAAGAAAAAAATGGTGGGTTGAACCTGGTTTTGTGGCATGCCAAACCTCCCGCTTTTATGGCAACGTCAAACACAACACCAAAACGACAACATCACATGACAGGACCACAATACAAATAAATGGGAGAACATATAGGACAAAGAAACACACGAATAATAGCTAACAAAAGGTACTAGGCTTAAAATTCAATACGCCAGACGTGCGTCTCGTCCACACAAGACCAACCAGTGACGCTCAGATGAAAAAAGTTTGAAAGCCAAAACAAGTACAAAGCTGAAGAGCACCGAGGACCAAAACTTCCAAAAAGTTGCGCCTAACACGGCCAGGGTTTTCTGCCTGGGACAAGAACATCCTTATTATTTAGAATAATTTATAATTTTGCAAACAGTAAATTTTATAAAATGACTATATAATAGATATACATGATAAAACTGAAGTGGGGACTAACTACAGAATAAAAACGGATACATTACATAAAACAACTTAATCCAACACATAAAAATACACAGCCAAGTTAGCCAAAGCCTCAACGCACAAAGTGACGTCACATTTGAAATTCTAAAAAAACACACAAAGTGACGTCACATTTGAATTTGTAAAAATATTTCCCAAAAATAAGATAGGATTAGGATTGATTCAAGATTAGATTTGTAATACTGACATTACATTTATTAATAACAATGAAAATTACAATACTTATAAATATCAAATTGTGGTAGTAATTAGATAATTAATTGTATTATTGAGCTATGTCGGTGTTTCTTCTGAATCAAACTGTAAACCAAATATATCGTATAAATTTCGTTGTACCAAACTAAAATCTAATTAATGAAGGGGGTGATTAATTATCTTTACCATAACACACGAATATAACAGAAAAGACGTTAAGACATTTGACAAAATCCGACGAGAATAACAAATATAACATCAAAATTAAATACAACATCAAAATTAAGGTCTTTATAAGTTATCTGAATCCATAGATGAAACAATACAAACGTTTCCATTCGTAAACCATTTCACTAGTATTAATAAGAACGTATCCTTATCTTTAAGCGACTACAACTCCTACAAGGCCGTGTTGATATATGTTCTGCTTGTCTTGCTGATGTTTTTTGCTGTATAATTTTTTTAATCTACTATAATTTGGCCAAATATGCAAAAAGTTATAACATCATCATGAAAGAGCAATAACTCCTATGAGAAGTCGACTAAGGATTTCGGTCATGTTAACAAATTTGTTTGTCTTGGCCTACTGATTATTTTTGCAATTTAATAATTTTTTTTATCTATTATAGTTTTAAAAATAAAATGCCAAAACACAAAAAATGGAAATAATTTTCATTTTGGGGCTGTAACACCTATAAGGAGTTGAGAACCATGATTTCGGCTATGTTAATTCATTTGTAGATCTTGTCTTGCTGATCATTTTGCTGTTGTAGTTTCACTCTATCTATTATAGTGTTTAAGATAACAGGCAAAAATAAAGAAATTGCTAAACATCTTCATTTAAGGGCAGTCAGTTTTCATGTGGATGGACAGTAGGTAGAACTCAACATTCTGAACATCTGTAAGATTTTCCTTTATAAAGAGATTTTCAAGATAAGTATAGATTATCGGGTTTTCTACCGATTGATATCGTAAAATGTCAGCCGCGAGCCACAATATGAACAATGTGGCGAATGAATGCAGCGAACGGTTCAGGTGAGCTAAAAATTATACATAACACTATAAATGTTTGATTTAGTAGTGGTAATAAGTTTTGGCGAATACATGTCATTCATATATTCAGAAAAAAAAATCTTGAATGTTACCAAAGACTATGTCATGTATTGTTAAACGATGTTTATTTTGGTAAAAGTTACAAACGTTTTTATACATCAAGTGGTATTTTGTTGGGTCTTTGAGAATCTTTTTTCATAAATTCGGACTCATAACAGTAAAGTAATAAATCTGCAACATTAGGGACACATTTAGTTTCCATCGGAATACCACCATTTGTCGGTATACTTTATAATGGCTTTAAATCAACTTTGCATTTGCAATTTGAGTTGTTGTTGTAAGTTTTATTATTGACAAGGGAATTGTAGCGACTTCAACATGTATAGTTGCACCTTGTTTTATCAAAAACGTCATTTTATTAAATTGATATTCTCTTTAATTGTTTTTTAACTGTGAAATGTCATATCAGTTTCCATATGATATATCAATATCATTCAGGTGTTTTTGGACTACCAGGATTGGTAAGATATATCAAACGATAATCTTGCAAGTTGAAACCATAATTGTATAATTGAGAAACATTGCATAACTTCAAATATAGAAATAGATAACAAATTTTACGAAAATTATCGTTTATTGAGAAATGACATACGGTTTGTACTAGGTCAAACAAATAATTTGTTACTTCAATCAATGTTTGGACTAGAATACTATATATCTCATCTGACCGAAACATACTGTCTATGCAGTCAGTCGGGGGCCTCAGCGGTCACCTGAACGGTCAACAACCAACAATCAATCATCAAGAACAGATTTGTACGATATGTCCGATTCTCTTTACTTTACGATTGTAATTTTTTTTTTAAATGCATCATCTGTAAATACCTATATGTTATAATTCCTAATGTGAGTAAAATGTGTTAACTAGAATCATGAATATTAAACGAATGTCTAATAAGACGCAGACACCACACATTATAATATGCATGATATTAAATAGATTGATTGATTGATTGTTGGTTGTTTAACGTCCAGTGGCAAATATTTCATGCATATTCAGGACGACTATTAAATAGAAAGGTGACGTTTTGTAGCTTAATTAATGTTTACCTGATAGTGGTGTTGGACTTGAAAATTCAGTTGAAAATTCTTTCTTTTCTGTTGAAGGCACTGATGTAGAAAAATCTGTAGAATAAATGAATGTAAACTGATGAATCAAAATTAATTTAATTATTCAAATATCTAGAAAAGGTTCAACAAAGCCAAATTTTCTAAATTTAACATATACTGAAAAAGGGTTGCTGTCAAGTCATTTGAAAAATATATAACAATGAAAATATTAACCAAGATTAAACTCCATCGGGCAAAGTTGACCTAAGATGAATTTGGCTTTTCTTTTGTGTCCTTTTTGTTCATACTGTTATGAGATTGTAATTATTATAATTATTTATCTTGGCCTGATTTGCTTTGTGTGACCTTATAAGATGTTTACATGACCTGTTTATAGTGTTTACGAAATAATGTTATTGTTTACTTTAGAAATCACTGGAACAATCGTATAGACAGATGGAATGATTAGAACTTTTTACTTGACTTACATAATAATTCCAGAATTATCATAATTTACGATGCGTAATTTGAACTTTTATAGTATTCTAGAAGTTTCCCTTCTACAGTGTTCTAGAAGTTTCCGTGGTAACTATATATGTATGAACGGTGAATTGGACTAACTTAACAGAAATATAAAAGTATTCTCAGAGGATCTCTGGAGTTATTTATTGGTAAATTCTACAACATCATGCTAGTTTGTGAACTTACTGGACATAATATTCCATTTGGATTCCGAAATAGTCAAGAGAAGAATTCCGGATAAAGAAAAGACTAGAATCGGACATTCAGATATTTTGACAATATTTGGTTATAGACAATTTAGTTGACTCAGAAATTTTTGATGAAGAGGCTCTTGAACTTAAGTTATAACATGCTGATGCTATCAAATTAAAATAGCGTGAACTAGAACATGAATTTAGATTAAAACAATTGGAAAAAGAAGATGAATTTAAATTTAAACACATGGAAAAAGAAGAAAGACAGACAGAACTTGAAATGAAGGAAAGGTTAAAGATGGAGAAAATAAAAAAAAAGAAGGTGAATTTAAATTTAAAAAGGCAGAACTTAAAATAAGGGAAAGGTAAGAGATGGAGAAAATGAAAATTGAAATGGTCAAAGTAGAAAGCAACACTAAAGTAGGGTTAAAATCAGAACATTTTGACGCAGCAAAAAATATACGTTTGACTCCCAAATTTTGTTACTGATGAATCGATAAATATTTTTCACAGTTTGAGAAAATTGCTCAAAATTTGAAATTGCCAAAGCCTTATTAGACTACAATGCTGCAAAGTGTTTTTGTGGTCACGATCGCTGAAATTTACTCAGAAAAAGTTCTGATTATAACACTGTAAAGCAGGAAGTTTTGAAAGCTTATGAGCTAGTGCCAGAAACATATAGACAGAAATTTAGGTCTTATAAAAAGTTGAATCACAAACCTATGTTGAATTTGCTAGGGAAAAAGAAGATCTATATGATAAATGGCTTACGTCAAAGAAAATAGATAACAATTTTGATAAAATAAATCAGTTAATGTTGTTAGAAGAGTTCAAACAGTGTGTTCATTTAGACTTAAAACACATTTAGATGACAAAACTGTTAAGACTTTGCAAGATGCAGCTGTTGTTTCTGATAGTTATACCCTTTCACATAAAAGAAGTTTCAAAGGTCAATTTATTAGTACTTCGAGCGGAAATTACAAAAATCAAAGTACTGAGCTTGCTGATAGTAAGCCTGTTGCATAGAATAAGACACAGCATAGTTATACCATATCTAGTCTAAAATGCTCCTTTTGAGAAGAAGTCACTGACTTGTGCATATTGTAAGAAAAATAGTCATGTGATTGCTGATTGTTTTAGACTCCAGAAAGAGAATGCAAGAGATAGATATAAAAACACTTTAATTTAAATAAATCTCAACGCACGAACTGAGTGGAGATTTTCAAACAAGTAACAAATTAACAAAATAATTTATTATCAAATAATTCTTAATTTAAGTATAAAGAAGATACGTATACCATATCACAATAGACCTCTTTCTCCACTTAGCCTCATTTAATGACTGTTTCATAACCTTATTAACAAGTGAAATTAATGTCACGAGAACTCATGCATTGTCACATGAGACTCCGCAAAATAACCAAATAATTATTTTAAAATGAATTATTACAGCGCATCATACAATGCAAAATTCACATTTTCTGGCATTGGGACTTTTGAATAAGACAGTCATGTATATTTATGATTGCAATTTGACGAGGTAAATTTACATACCTGTATTGGCAGCATTTTGGCTTGATGTTTGACTAATGAGGCAACAGTAAAAGACAACGTTATACATGGACATTTTAGAAGAAGTATTTTAAACAAACCCGTGATACGGAAGTTTAAAGCAATCTTCCTTAAATGATTGTACCGAAGTTTCAATTGCAGTTTATATAGTATTGTCAAGCAAGATCTATTCAGTTACAAAAAATAAAATAACATTTGTCATTGAAATGTTTAGTTTTAAGTCAAACATTTTCGGATCATAACAATTTAACACTTTAACAATAAATAATTTCCTTAATAGGGAAAAACACACAAAAGAGATTGACATTTTTTCAGTATTTATCTTTGCATCCTCGTCTTTAAACCCTTTTTGAGTGTGATCAGTTTGCTATGATGTCCTCTGTAATGCTGATTAAGATATTACAATTATTATATTGGATTTCTTTTCTAAAAATACCCTATTAAAATGGACGTTCAACTCTATATCTATGAGCCTCCATAGTATTAAAGTTCGTACAATTTGATAAAGACTTATACAAAACAGGGAATTTATTTTTAATTCTAATTTTAGGAAATATGAAAGCAAAAATCATTTATCAATTTTTTAAACGATTTTTCTTTCAGAAATAGACCCGAATTAACAATGTTTTTGCAAATTAACTAGGGTCACACTGTGCTGCTAAATATTATGATAAAAAATAAGGTTGCACCATTTTTTCCCTGAGATTTATTGATCAAATATACCTTTTTGAAACAAAATGAATTTCTATCAATAAGTTTATTGTTATATCACTCAAAAATTAATTTCCCGATATATAATATATAGATTAATTAGAATTAATTTAGAACCTCACATTTCATCAAAATAAATACTGTGAATTTGAATTGTTTTACACGTGTCATTTTGAAGCCTTTTATAGTTAATTATATGGTATGGGTTTTGCAATTTACTTACTTACTGTATAAATTCAGAGGAAGTATTAATCTTAAGTATAACCCGTTATGAGTGTAGGAGAAAATCTTAAAAATATATTCGCCTCTTGAAGGTAATAATTGGAGCTCTTGGAAAGGAGAGAACATGTGACAACCACGTAAATCATTTAACATTTAGAAAATAATGATAGAAAAAAGTCTTGAAATGTAATGAACAAACTTTTTGAAACAATTTCTCAATTGGTCTTTATAGAATGGTATATGCTGATCATTTAAATATATGAAAATATAAAATGTAAAACGAGAAAGAAAATCTGTAATCAATCTCATAATAGAAGAGGTTCAATCGCAATAGCAAACTCTCTATGAAGTTCCTAAGAGCTATATGCACAGCAAGAATTGCTACAATCTTAAGTGAAATTTTGCGGAAAAATCAGTTAAGTTCCTAATTCTAGAAAAATGAAGATATTCCAAAAAAGCAGGTGCACAATTTCAATTTGTGTGTAATCCTTCTGTGAACATCCAGGATATGGATTGTGAACTGAAGGAGGAGTGGATTACATAGAACTGGTACAATCTTGTGTACATTTTGCTGAAAAAAAGTTCCCAAGTCTGGCAAAATGGAAAAAGATCCTTAAACAATTATTCTGTAATCGTAAGTGCACTTTTTCTATGAAATTTCAAAAATCTAGGTTAAAAACTGTAGAAGATTATTACACAAAACTTCTCCCGTCTTTCGAAAACTTTGCTGAAGAAATAACGAAGTTCCCAAGTCTAGAAAAATGACAAAAAAAATCAACAAACAATTCCATAATAGCGGGACTGGTGCACACTTTCAACATATTAGCAATTTTTCTGTGATGTTTCAGGGTTCTGGGTTAAAAATAGTAAGCGAAGTTGATTACACAATTCATTACAAACTTTCCGCGCCTGTCCGCTCATTCTGTTGGTCGTCCAACATCACCATACTATAAACTGGTTTTGGATTTCATTCAACCTAGCTAAATACAAAATATTTAGCGAGACAGAACGTTAAAATGACTGAAGATATAATTAAAGATATCTTCAAAAGGGCTTATTTTGAGCCATAATGAAGTAAAGCAACAACAAAAAAACAGCGATTCCTAAAATTAGATGTACGAAACTAGGATAAAGGGAGCGCAGGAAGTTCAAAGTCAGGAACATCATGAGTGATTTGTCTTGGTTCATATGTTTGTATGTCTGTTCTTTATTGCAATTCTTGTCAAGTAATATTGATGTTTACCTAAAAAAAAGTACAGACTCGAGAAGATTAAGACATCTGTTTATTGTTGAAAACTATATGTTGCCCTCTATATGTCTTTCGTTATAAGTGTCGTTGGGTTGCTGGCACACTGATGTATACCCCACCCCTTCTATTACTCGTGCCAGACAAGCAACGACAGCCACTGAATTACACCTCCTGAATTGGGACTGGCACATAATGAAGGAGCCTGTTTACCATTAACTTTATTAACAATATACTCGTCATAGATAAAAGGACTAAAATTACCTAAGCCAGGCGCGCGTTGAAGAGCATGAAGTCAAATACCTGAAAAAGAGAGGCAAAGGGTCCTAAAGTGATACTCAACCTCATTAGTCGAAAAAAAAACAGCACACACAACACAGCATGAAACTAAAGACTGAGCAACACGAACCCCATCAAAAACAGGGGGCGATCTTAGGTGCTCCGGAAGGGTAAGGAGATCCTGCTCCACATGAGACAATCGTCTTGTTGCTCATGTAAGTACAAACCCGATGATAAGATATTGCAAACTGCCATACAAGTTATACAAGGGAGCCCTCCAAACGATGACCTATAGATACCTGTGTGATTAACTCAAGATGTTGGCTTTACAGTCGCAAATATATAAATCCTTCGCATCATCTTTTTATAGGTGTATATTCTAAATATTTTTATTTTTCATTAAGAGAATACTACGTTACAGGACGTTGGTAGACCTACCTACTTCTTGTAATGGAGAAGAAACTGTCTATTAGAGAAATAATATTAAAAGCTACAAACGGACTTGAGGCGTACGCGTTGCTTAGTCTATAGTTTTCTTTGTATTGTTTTGTAGACTATTTCGTCGTTTTTCGTTTCTTGCCTCAGATTTTACAGTTTGTCTCAGACTTGTGAGTTTCGAATGTCCCCTTGAAATATTCCATCTTTTCTTATTTACATCAGATACCATTTTTATATGAAAAAAAGAGTTTCCGATTTTACTAAATTGGTAAACAAATAACAACAAGTGGTCGGTTATATTTCATGCAACAATTTAGAAAGCAAACAGGAATCATCTGTATTCTGTATCTGACTTGAAAATTAATGTAAAGTGTAATGAATTATATAGACTACACAGATGGACAATTGTATTTCAATAAAAATAAAGTCAGTGAACAGAACCTTTGATTTACACGAAAAAAAATTAGAATCAACCTAGGAAAGATCACAAGTAACTTCACTTTATATTTAATTATCAATTACAAATGTACTCCGCTAATATTATTGGCTTATAATATAAGTTTCCTTGCAACCATGTACTTTCACGAAGTATCTAAGTTTTTATTGTTGCTTCTATCAATGCCTGTTTCATTTGGATCAAGTACAAAATAGTCCTTCGTGTGACTATAGTCTTATTCTTGCCCGGAACTTATAATTTGAGCTTCTATCGTACATTGTTTCTTTTGGATCAAGCATGAGGTATTCGTTTGGCTGACTAGATTATTTTGATTAAATATCATCTTGTGTTGTTATGTTTGTTGCAAATTCCGCATAATCATAATGTTTCTCTCCGGTTTTTCCCAGAATTTTTGGTGAACCATTCTCTTTTTGTTGAACTTCCTCATATGTGGCATTAGTCAATGCCGATTGTCTATTCTGGTCAAAAGAATCATATACGGTCATATAAGAATGTGGTTCGTTAGTATGGTATTCGATTTCACTTTGTGGAGAACTTTCCAATTCTCTATAGTTATGACCATCTGTTTCATTTCCAAGTGTGGCATAGTAATTATTATCTCCTTGAATAGCAGAATGAGCGTTTGAGTTGATGTAAGCAACATTTTGATTCCCTGTATAATCTTGTTCATCATTTTTGTTTTCATCAGGGACATTCCTTGCAAAACAGGACAGAGAGAAACTAAAATATACAATGGTATAGTAAAGAATTATTTTTTTTTGCTATTGAATACAGAATTTTTAATACAAAGTGATGAATTATTTTTTATAACATACATTTGTAATTCTGTCATATATTGGGTTATTGTAATTAATGATATAAAATATTTCGATTTGTGATAATTCAAAATAAATGAATAAGGGAGAAGGTTTTAAACAAGTTACGTTAAAATTCTCCGTGAACCACTACTCATGATCCGTACACATCAGTTAAAAAGCTGTTAAAAAACCAATAACATACTAATTAACCTGAGAACAAAAATTTTAATTCTTTTTTAAATGCATATAACTTGTAGTTAATGACTTTGAAATAATATTCAGGTTGCAACCTAAATTTCACAAATAAGACCGATTTTCGAAAATTTCCTTTGTAGTTTAATTGATTGATATCTAATATCTTTTCAATTCAAATAAAACTTTAAACAAGAATGTGTCCATAGTACACGGATGCCTCACTCGCACTATCATTTTCTATGTTCAGTGGACCGTGAACTTGGGGTCAAAACTCTAATTTGGCATTAAAATTCGAAAGATCATATCAAAGGAAATATGTGTACTAAGTTTCAAGTGAATTAGACTTCAACTTCATCAAAAACTACCTTGACCAAAAACTTTAACCTGAAGCGGGACAGACGGACAAACGAACGGTCGGACGGACGAACGGACGCACAGACCGTAAAACATAATGCCCCTAGGTGGGGCATAAAAAATATAAACAGATTTTGAATCTTTAAATATAGCCTCAATACGTACCGTTTAAGTATGAAGATTACAATTATCAAAGCAATGAAACCAACACCTGCTACAATGCCTGCTACTATACCTGAAAAAGGCTGTATTTACTTCAATATCTTGTAGGTCTGTTACTTATGCATGCTTGTTAATATAAATGTATACTTGTGCATATTATATAGACATGTGTGTATAGTTAAAGACTGTAAGCTGACATCTAAATATCTCGTGTCGTTGGGGTGATGTCCCATTGACGTATGCCCCACATCTCCTTTGTAGTGTGTTGTATTATAGGTAATTCCTGTTATCCGTTTCTATGTATAATGCAATAAAATACTTCATTTTTTTTTATGTTCAATGGAAAGCTAACATGTTATTGAAAGGTGTACCGTAGTACAGTGTAGTGACTTTAGTATCATTCTTTGATGCCACAATATTTATTTTTTGAGTCTATGATAGTGTATCATAAGCATTTCCTAATGGGATTTAAGTAAATAGACTTAAATTCAGTTATCGCTGGGGCCACTGACGGATTGTGTTTCATATTTTAGATTTACCTAACATGAGTGACGTTATATTCTGTGACGTAATTTAGTCCTTTACAGAATTTCATCGCAGCAAGCAAGCTGTTTAAATTTCGTAAGCGGTAAAATTGAAAAAATTGAAAAGTAGTATCTTGTAAATGGTAAAGTAGTGTTTGTATTGTATGGTTATAACCTGCCTCATGCTTCCAATGTTTATTAGAAGTAATCTTAAAAAGAATTCATTTTATCGATCGTCAGTTTTTTAACCATATTCCATCAGGAATTTCATCGCCACGTGGAGAGCACATGCAAAGACTGAAAGAGATTGGTCCCATTATTAGTTTTCATTTTTATAAATTATTTAATTTTTACAAATATGAGTAATTAGATGCATTATTGTCCTAAGATTTGCAGATTATAATAATGATTTCGTCATTGTATTTCTACATCAAATTAGATGCATGTATATAGTCTGACTGGTACTGATATTAAGGTACTCATATATATATATATGACGACTACTTTGATAGTCGAGTTTGGCATATTTTAACACCGTTATTGCTAGGATTTCATACTCCTGTGGCCTAACAATTGTATTTGCGCTGTAACAGATCATGCAGGTTAGTAACGTGTCTTTAATGGTTATGTGTTGTGGGGCAGGCGTTATCTGATGTACTCCCGAATTATAATTAAATTTTCCTTAAAAGGGTATACATCGGTAATTGTGTATCTAGATCTTTCATAGCACATATACAGCAAATATTCCATGAAAGGATATGAACGTACAAAGGTGTAAAAGGGACGTACCCTTTGGGGCGAAAGGACCCAGGTTCGTAACCGAAAGTTCAACTTTCGATACAAATAAACAAAAATCTTGGAAATCTTGCACATAGACCATGCCCGGAGTTAAGAAGCAGTAGCCAAAAATCGTCATGTCTAAATGTTAGCTTGCTGGTGGAGTTAAGCAAACATATATCATTATCTGTATATATCCTGCTATAAATTTTGCGTGTACCTACACACTTGTTACTAAAAACTGTCAGAGTGTCGAGTCTGTCACATCAGTCATCATAGTGACATGTATAGTTGCTACTACTCTCTAGCCTAGACTAGGTCGATATGGTATGAATAGTTCAGATAAATCACAAATTAAGTCATAATGTCATCAACAGGCCACAGCTTAAATTATTGTTGTAATAACTTAATTATATACAAATATTACACTATGTCACTATCAACTGACTATGGATTTAAGAATTAATAAATATATATATCATGTATATATACTAATTTTAAATTAATTTTTTTTTAAATTATTGTAACTATCTTCGACACAACTAGGAGTATACGTAATATTTTGTATTGTTATTGTTTCTTTGTGCAGTCATTTGATTTTGTTATGTCAATGCTGTAGCATGGTGGAACTAATATTTACTTTTTGTTGAGTTGTAGCACAATGTTGGGAAGATCAGTTAGAAAGCGAAAAGTGCGACCTTGCTCTGCCACAGAACACCACCAGGGTTGTAACAGTTGGACCAGAGACATAGACAACAATGACACATCAGTTTTTACAAATGGGTCACCAGACTGAACTGGATTCACGACTCATAACGCCACCAACTCAACTCCTTTAGGTCACATATATTTGTACATTGGATCATCATCAGACGTCATTTATGCAAACCCCCAGAGCTCTGCATTAGTATGTTCCAGTTCACAGTTGATAATTTACCAGGTAATCATCAGATTTACAAAAGCAGTATGTTACTTTTAAGTTAAACCTCTACATGTACATGTGATTCTAACATATAACAAACATATGTATAAAGATTAAGGCAACTTTTATTTTTTTTTCCAATCTTATGGTTTAGATTTAAAAGATTGTGTAATAATTATATCTCAGTTTCTAAACTTAAATCCACAAAATATTGCTGAATGTGTTATTTTTACAATTTATAGGGGATGCCACTTCATGCGTTAGAAATAAAAAACAATTCTTAAATATAAGGTTACAATTATATATTATTATAAATATATTACATGTGAAACTTTTAAATGTTGTTTTGTATATTATCATATGATTTGTGACATATGATTTGTAATGGAGAACACTATTGACTAATATAATATTATTTATCTTGATACATAATCTGAATATTACAAATCGATATGCATGTACTGCATGAATACAGATGTTGCAATAAAGTACCACAATTATAAAGGACAAAATTTATAGAAGTGTATATTTATTGATCACTATTTTAGGACAGACTGCAAATATTTCTGTTTGTCCAAACCCTACCAACAAGTCTCAGGTGTGTGGGAAATTTTCATTATTTTTAATTTTATTTTTTTTATATATTTAATGGAAAATAGGGGCCAAAATGGTTTTATTTTGTAAACATTTTTAAAATGAGACTATTACAGAGTTTTGTGTAAATTGTCAGACGCAGATAAGCGAGGATATATACATGTATGTACATGTAATATTAGCACAAACTAGTACAATTTAAGTAATTATTTACAGCTTGTCTTGCAGTCTGCTCCAAACCAGTTAAAAATCTTTAGTATTTAGGTGTCGACAACAGCTTTAATTTATATATATACTAGATTTTATTGTAATCTTTATCCTGAAAGATTCTAGGAGTTGCTCAAATAGATGAGTATCTTATGCTGTACATTTAGGGGCCAAGCTTTGTTAATTTTAGGCTGGAAGCATTATGACAACAATTTCATTTGCATAAAACCATTGGCCCTACTGGTTGCTGGGCTACTGTTGATTCCAAATTATGGTTGATATTTATTAATGAAAATTATAGTACAGGTTGAATTTCAGTTAGCATGAACACCGGGACTAATTTGAAATGTTATGCTTTTAATTATGAGGGTACCTAGATGTTGTTAAGCAGCTTGTTTGTGTGTCATCCTTTATAACTTGTTGGTTGTCCTAACAGGAGACATTAACCATGTTTACTTTGCATAATCTAGGCCTTCTTATGATATTCCAAGTTTCAGGTCACCTAGACCTCGAATGGAAATAAGTTTTCATTTGGGCAACCTGGTTCAAACCCAAGACGAGACAGAGAGTGGTTGCTGCTGTTATACTAAATGTTTGTTTCTTCTTACATAGATTTAGACTCTAGTATACAGGTCCTCATAGTCATTCTTTGAAATTTGCATTTGCCTGAGTTGATCCAGTTCTTCTTGCCTTGTATTTATGGGCAGTTTTATTACATTATAAGAAATTCACTTCTACATAGACATCTTACACATTCAGGTATTTCCCATCCAATCTTTTATGGTAATATACCTTACAAAGTACAAAATGTCAGTTTACCTCAAAAGCTAACAAAACATTAAAGCAAACTTATAAAGAAGGAATACTGTTGCCTGCATAAAAAATGGCATATTTTGGCTTCAATATTGATTCACTTGCACAGTCTTTGCATCGGACAAAAACTCATTTATTCTTAAACCAGTTGCTGGTTGATACGGGTTATGTTCCTCTAATATATGTTATGATGATATGATACTAAACCCCCATTGGAGGGATGGTGCTAGATATTTCATATAATGAAGACATAATCTTTCGAACAGTTAAATTGAGGTCTGGAGCTGGCATGTCAGTAACTGTTAGTAGTCCATTGTTGATTTATGTAATGTCGTCATTTTTCAATTTTTGTTTTGTTTGTTTTGTTACCTATTCTGATATTGGACTCGGACTTCTTTAAACTGTGTGATTTTTACTGTGCGTATTACTGTGTGTTTGTTTGCTCTGCATTTGGTTGAGATTTTAAATAACTTGTTTAACCCCTGCGCAATTTAGTACCTGTTCCAAGTCTGGAGCCTCTGGCCTATGTTAGCCTTGTATGAATTTTTATTTTAGTTCATATATTTGGGAGTTTAGTATGACATTCATTATCACTGTTCTGGTACAAATTTTTCATTATGGCTGAAGCCATTTCTGGTTTTTAGGTGGATCGCGTCAGATGCTTGTTCCCAACTGCAGATGTTTATCCTGCTATAACCCCACGGGTTTTATTACTGTTATTTCAGACCTTTAGTAACCATTTAATTGTAAGTTCCACAGCACCCAGTACATACAGATGTATCAGAGAGGACAGTCTTTCTTTTTTCATGAGTTCAGATCTCTAATTGTTTTAATGAATACATTTCCTATCTCTCTCTATGAATTGTTAAGGTATTGCTTACTTGTACATTTTGTATCTCTCTCAACAAAAATTGTGACATTACTTTTACTAGGTTTGGATATTTTTCTAGGAAAATTTAACAGATGTGTCAAAAAATAAATTTGAGGTTTGTCAGTTTTTAAGAAGTATTAAACACTCCAGGCCTTTACATTTACCTTAACCAGAGTCATGCTGAAGTCTAGCAAATATTTCCTTATCTTGTTGTTGGTTAAACTTGGTATGAATTCAGTGTGTTTGAAGCTGTCTTTTCAATTGTTTTTGAGGATTATTAAAGGGTCGGAGATCCAATGGTGACAACTTAAGACAGGGGTTACAGAAGAATTATTATTTTTCTTGATTAATTATGCTTTAAATTGTATTGGTATTACATATGTAACATATACTTCCATGTAGCAATTTGCTGTACAAGAATTGTAGGAGATCCTATTAGCTTGATGTTTGGATAGTAGAATCCTCAATAGTAAGTATGTTTTTGTAGCAGACCGACATCCTCCAGATGGGGTTGACGTAGGTCTAGGCACGGAAATGAATCTTTGTGGTGGCATGATTGTCAAGCATGTTAAAAGTTAACTCAGAACATGAAACTATGAGGATCCACCATATTTCTTAATAAAACATGTAGCAGGAAACGACACAGGTAGTTTTAGAGTGGGATTTTTGCACAATGAGATGAAGAACATGATCAGATGGATTATGCGGTTCATCAATTCTTAAGTACGTATGGTCTCAAATTTGACCAGGTTATTGCAAAGCATGGACTTGTTTTGCTATAGAATATACAACTATATTATTGCCTTTATAATTAGCTGTCAGGGTTGCTACATAAAATATTATGATTTTCGATCAGACCAGAAATTTTTCAACTGGATGTTTTTCACTTGTCACCCTTAACATGCTTATGAAATGAATTGTTAAACATCTTGAATATATATTTGATGATATACTATAATATACTATATGTTATGGTATACAAATACAATCAACTATCTTATGGTTTGGTGTAGTTTTGGTTAGTATTTTTTATCTGTGTAGGTAAATATGTTTTTGAACAGTTGTTCACAAAACATCATATAGATTATTTAACATATATATGTACCAAGTTGTACTTTGAATAAAAATATCTATCTATCTATCTGTAGTTATCTCATATCTGGTTCACAGCTTTGCAGCGAACCGCCCTTTTTATGGCGGTTGACAGAGTCTCTGTTTTCCTCCGTCAATGTGGCAGAATTCGCTGCATAGAATCTTAATGTTAACTATGAAATTTTAGGTTTTTGGATAATACAGACTACACTTGTGTATCCCACGGTGTTTTCTAAATTTAAAGCACCAGTGTATCCCACGGTGCATCTTTACATTTTCATATATATCTATCTATCTATCTGCATTTTGCAGCAAGGTTGCCATATTATCTTCGGGTAACCAACCATATATCTATCTACATATACATATACATCTATCTATATATATATATATATATATATCATATGAATCTATATTATGAATAAAAGCTGTGGCCAGATATCGCCAAACCAATATATGTATTTTGTTTTAATGGCACCATCTGAGATAATGGAATTTAAGTAAATAGACTTAAATTCAGTTATCGCTGGGGCCACTGACGGATTGTGTTTCATGTTTTAGATTTACCTAACATGAGTGACGTTATATTCTGTGACGTAATTTAGTCCTTTACAGAATTTCATCGCAGCAAGCAAGCTGTTTAAATTTCGTAAGCGGTAAAATTGAAAACCCGCCCTCCCACTCCTTTTTTTTTTACGAGATACTGCTCTTTTGTATTTATTTTTCAGGTTTTTGTCGGTGACAGTGGTAATACAGATTTGACTGATGATGTTAACTTGTTTGCGGTTGAGAAAAGTGACTTTTATTTGAACTTTGAGCATCATAAATAGATTCCCGTAATGGCAGAATTCGCTGCATAGAATCTTAATGTTAACTATGAAATTTTAGGTTTTTGGATAATAGAGACTACACTTGTGTATCCCACGGTGTTTTCTAAATTTAAAGCACCAGTGTATCCCACGGTGCATCTTTACATTTTCATATATATCTATCTATATATCTGCATTTTGCAGCAAGGTTGCCATATTATCTTCGGGTAACCAACCATTTATCTATCTACATATACATATACATCTATCTATCTATATATATATATATATATCATATGAATCTATATTATGAATAAAAGCTGTGGCCAGATATCGCCAAACCATATATGTATTTTGTTTTAATGGCACCATCTGAGATAATTAGTTTTATGTATGAATTATTTTTCCGTATACTCTGATATCGTAATATAATTTCCATTAAGTTATTTAGAAAGTGGAATGACGAGACTACTTTTATATTTATTTGTACTTTATTCCTGTCACGTAATGTTGTCATTTTAGCGGTATTTTGAACATTGCTATATTAGCGGGAGGTTTGGCTAGCCATAAAACCAGGTTCAACCCACCATTTTTTTCTTAAAATGTCCTGTACCAAGTCAGGAATATGGCAGTTGTTATCTAATAGTTCGTTTCTATGTATGTTGCATTGTTGTTTGTTTTTTGTTGCACTTCTGTGTTCTGTTATTTCGTTGTTTTCCTCTTATAGTTGATGTGTTTCCCTCGGTTTTAGTTTGTAGCAGCGGTATACTACTGTTGCCTTTATTTATACATATACTCACCAACTACGCTTTTGTTGCTACCACTTTTCATTGGACTAGATGTTGATTGATTGATATGGTTTGTTGTCATACCTGAAATCAAGTATTAAAATTTCTTAATGTAAAATAATGCGCTAAGATTTGAATCTGTTTCCTCCCAGGAACAGTCCGAGTCATCGTTTTATATGTGTACTTTAAGGTTTTTAAACGATTTTTTTTTGGCGTATTTCCGAAATATTAAATGCCTGAAGATGACCGATAAATGTTATGTTTATAGATGTTTGGTAAGATTTGAATAACTATCCAGTTTTTAAAAAAAATATAAGAATCTATTCTTCACGAAAATTCTAAGGGAAATAATTATATATGTTGTTTTAGAAATACAAATCAAATCTCTTTGAATAAAGATATCCTTCGATGCCAAATTATACAAAAGCATGTAAGATGTACAATATTGTCTTCATTGAAATGGAATATGTAGCTCTATATAACATATAATTAGCATGCGTCAGTGAAAATGGCTGTGAATGTTGAAATTGTAACAAAAATGTGTAAATATTAGAATTATACCCGTATTCGTGTGTGTAAATGAACTAATTGTGATTGAAAACATTATGTTGAGATGCCGAGAAGAAAATATAATCATCCAAAGCGAGCACAGAAGTATAAATATTATTCTTCTTCTTCAGATCAGTCAAGGTTAATGGACAAATGGCAATGTACGAAAAACCCAGAGAATAACAAGGTACGTTTTAACATTATAAGTGAAACAATAAGTGACAACAGTTCAGTCAGCAATCAAAACCTACAATGAACAACTCGATTCAAGGATTGCGATGCACAACACCAATGACAAGTTCACCAAATATTGGGATAGAACCTTTTTCAACCTCTTTACCTCACCCACCACCACCAATCACAATCCAACATACACAACACCCTGATTCATTAGGGATTGATACATGTACTTTGTTAAAGGAGATTTGTGAACGTATGGGAAGAGTTGAAATAAAACTAAACACTTTTATAAAATAGGAAAGCGTTTAGATATAATAGACACAAAATATAAACAGATGGATAGTGAAATTTCAAACAACTGCAAAGCCAGAATTTGTTATCTTGAGCAAAGCGTCCAGTTCTTATCAGACGTTAAAGACGAACATATAGCTCTTAATAAAAAGGTAAGACTACCTCAGTAGTGGTATCGAGTAAACAAAAACAGACAATACAATTGTTCGTGATAAAATAGAAACCATAGAGACAAAAAGTCTGGAACAAAATCTGCTGTCTTTGCGTTAGAAGAAAAATTCGTAACATAGTGGTACACGATGAAGGAAAGGGGTGTAACGGGACAAAAAGGTAAAACTGATCAGCCTATAGAAAACGAAATTTGTGTGGAAACGATTTTAGACTTTTGTGAGAAGTAACTTGCAAGCAATAAAAAATGCTAAAACAAATATCAAGCTTGAACGAGCATATCGATTAGGAAAACCAATTGCGGAAGCTTCTAAACCTAGGTCGATTGTTGTTAAATTTTGTGAAATGTCTGACCGCGAGTACGTTCGCAGTGTTTGAAACCGCCTGAAGAGAACACAGTTTAGTATCTCTCCGCATTATCCAAAAGATGTGTTAGAAAAAAAGAAAAAACTTATTCCGAAAATGCTTGAAAAGCGCAAAAACAAAAACAAGGCTTATCTAGTCGGAGATAAATTATATGTAAACGGCAACCTATGGCAAGGATAGGGGTATTCGGAGTCTGATTTCAAAGTAGACAGTAATATCCCCGAGCCTCACAACAGTGCATTACTTAAGTTATGTTCATGGAATATTTCAAAAGGTTTATTGAGAAAACTGAAAGATAATGAATTATTGTAGATAGTGAACAAATTTTGTATATTGTGTTTAAATAAATGTTGGGTAATATGTCCGGAAGAATTCGACATATTGGGTTATGAAAAAGAGTACATAATCAGGGCAAAATGCAACGGGGGAAGTGTTATTGATTTTATAAAAAAAAATGGTTAAACCCTTTTATTAAATTTGCAAAGAGCTGTGTTGATTGTATGATTTGGTTCAAAGTTGATAAAAGTATTTTGTGTGATAATAATGATTCATATATATATTCTATATATATGCCTCCGTATAAAAATGTGTACTATCGTAAATATGACATTGATGTATTTGTTAACCTACAAGAACATATCTAGAACTTTTCAGTAACATTGGTAATGTGGCGGTTATAGGTGATCTAAACGGTCGTATACAACATTACAGGTGATGTTGAAGACAAACAATTACAAGACAACATTCATTCATTGATTATGTAAATGATGATGTATTTTTAAACAGACACTCAGAAGATATCAAACCACCAAATAATTTTGGCCAACGCATCCTGCAGTTATGTAAAAACTCTGGGTTACGTATTTGTAACGGAAAAATTGGTAAAGAAAGTCAGAAAAAAACATTTAACAATAAGAATTGGTGAAGTGTAATAACCTATATGTTAATTTCACAAAATTTTATGTTCAATATTATTAATAGCTTTTCTGTTGGATCGTTTAATCATTTTTCTTGTCGTGCACCACTTGAAGTTTTTTTAATCTTACTGATAATAATGTTTAAAAAGACCAGTGTAATTGTTCTAACCATGTTTGTGATATTTTTAAATGGAACGAGGGTTGCGAAGAACACTTACTCACAAATATAGACCAAATCAGCGATCATATTGATTGTTGCGTGGAAGAATTGATTAAACCATTCAAAGATATTTTGAACAATACACAAAGTCAGAAGTAAATTGACTCCTGCCCTACAAGTAGTAAAACACGTGACCATGGTTTACAGACGAATGTAAAAGTTTATATTTAGACTATCAACGAGCTATGGTGAATTTTAACAGTGAACATAGATTACGTTTTAATTTAGCCAAACAAAGATACAAACGATTGGAAAATCAACTGAAATGACAGTATAATAATCAACAGGGGGGTATGTTGTCTTAATTACGAAAAAGTAATCCAAAACGATTTAACAGGAAATTTAAAAAGCGCAAAAAAATGTCATCCAAACACTTATTGTGGAAGATTTTGAAAAACATTTTAAAAACTTGATTTCGAAAGATGTCACTGAAGAGTTACTGTATCAGCATACCCCAGAGTATATGAAGAATTACACTCTCCATTCACAGAATCAGAACTTGAAATGCCTATAAAGTCTTTAAAACGTGAGAAATCTACTGGGAATGACAATATTATGAACGAATGTATACTAACGAGCATAAACTTTATCAAACCAGTATTGTGTAAATTGTTTAACCGTATATTGAGTGCTGGCGATTTTCAAGACATATGGTTTAAAAACATTATCATTCCAGTTTTTTAAAAAAAGGACCAGTAGACGACCCAGGCAACTATCGTGATATTTCTCTCGTATCACATGTGGGTAAACTGTTCACATCAATTATTAACACCAGGCTTACCAAATGGAGCAAAAAACATAATATAATAACCGATGCACAGTTTGGATTTAAACCAGCTTATGGAACAACTGATGCCACCTCGCACTCAATTCACTAACTTCTAAATCTTTACGTAGTGGAAAAAGATTTTATTGCTGTTTTATAGACTATAAAAAAGCATTTGATAGTGTATCCCATTTCACGCTGTGGTTAAGATGAATCAGGTGTGGTATAAGTGGAAACTTATTAACTGTTATTAAATCTATGTATGCCAAAATTAAATGTTGTGTTAAACTGGAAGGACATTTTTTAAATTTCATCTAAAGTAATGTTGGATTGATGCAAGGAGAATCATTATCTCCTTTTTTATATTCTTTGTATATTAATGACATTGAAACTGAGCTTATAAGTCAAGGTTGTCAATCATATGAGTTAAAGATGCTTAAATTTATTCGTTCGGTGTATGTTTATTTGTTTTGGTTTATATGTCTCTTTGATCGAGTTAAGCCATTTCAATTGATATTTTATAGTGTGTCTTTTTATGTTGTATTGTTACATTACTGTTTCGGGTTCAGGTGAAGGTTGGCGCCTGTTAAAACGTTTAAACCCGCTGCATTTGTATGCACCTGTCCTAAGTCAGAAGTCTGTTGTTCAGTGGTTGTCGTTTGTTGATGTGGTTCATAAGTGTTTCTCGTTTCTCGTTTTTTATATAGATTAGACCGTTGGTTTTCCTGTTTGAATATGTTTACACTAGTCATTTTGGGTCCCTTTATAGCTTGCTGTTCGGTGTAAGCCAAGGCTCTATGTTGAAGGCCGTACTTTGACCTATAATTGTTTACTTTTTACACATTGTGACTTGGATGGAGAGTTGTCTCATTGGCACTCATACCACATCTTCTTATTTCTATTAATTTTTATTTACTTATGTATGCAGATGATACAGTTTTATTAAGTGAAACTATTGATGGTTTACAAAAGATGATAGACAGTGTACACATATATTCTAGAGAGAATGAATTGAATATTAACTTGTCTAAAACCAAAATTCTTGTGTTTAGGATTAGAGGCCACGTTAAAGCGATTGAAAAATGGTACTTAAATTGTGTTGATATTAAATTATGTGATGAATTTACACATCTTTGCATACTTTTTAAATACTATGCAAACTTTGTACAAACACAGAAAATGTTAGCAAACCAGGGTAGAAAAGCATCATTTAGTTTATATAGTAATATATATGACGATTGTTTTAACCATGAAACTATGTTATCTCTTTTTGACACATATAGGTATCTAGTACAATGTATATTAAATTATAGTTGTGAACTGGGGACATCACAAAGCCGAAAATATTTAGAAAGTTTACCTAGCTTTTTAAAACGTATATTGAAAGTTTAAACATCTAACAGTCTCCGGGACAAGTTTGCACTTCCGCTGAGTGCAAAAGTTGTCACCTTAATTTTTGGAGTTAAGTCAAAATGAAGTTGATAACTTGGTTGGTATTGGTTCCCTGATATTTGTCCTAAAAAATTTTGTGCTCTAGCACCACTGTTGAAAAAGTTATGCCCCTTTTTTCAACAATTTCCTCAGAGGAAAAGTAGTTTTCCTCAAGGGAAATCAAATTTCCCTAAAG